CCCCCCCCCGGGGTTATTATTATTATTATTTTAAAAATACGAATCCCCGCGTGACTACTTCTGCAAGGGCGGCTGCTTCTTCGCCGTCCCAAAGGGTGCCCCCCCCTCCGAGCCCAGCTCCCGACAGACAGCGCCCCCCTTACCCCCTCCCCAGCCCAGGGGCCTCGGCCAGGCGGCACACGAGGAGGGGCACTACCCAGGGTTCCCTCTAAGCTGAGTCAGTGTGAGCCAGCTCACAGTTTTTTGAGCCTCCAGCTCACACATTTTTGTCTCGGCTCAGGAAGGAGGGCTCCAGAGCAAACTAGTTTACGCAGCCGCCAAATGGCTCGCTCACAGCTTTAATGCCAGTAGCTCACAAAGTAGAATCTTTGCTCACAAGACTCCACAGCTTAGAGGGAACATTGGCACTACCCCCAAAAAACCTGAAATAGAGTGAGAATTGACAATACCATCAGACCACAGACCTCCACCACTCTCCAATATTATATGCTTGTAAATTATACGAAACATACACTCAGGTATGCAAGGGGAAACTGAACTCAGTAACACTGTAAGCGAGTGGGAAGTGTCTGGAATACTGCAGTGAAAGAATCAAGACTATCTTGTTGCGTACATGAGAAAATGCAATTTAAAACACTTGTGACAGTAGCTGGAAACTACTGCAGAGTCCAGGGACTGTTATGACTCCATTGGATGACGTCAGAGCCCGGGGTTCAGGCTGTCCATCTAGAGGGGGCAGTGGGAGGGGACGAGACGGGGCTGGGGATGGCTGCGTGACAAGAGCCACGCCCAGGGGACTGCCGCAGCCCCCCTCCCCTCCAGGAGGCCAGCATCATTCGACCCGCAGGGCCGGCAGGTGGGCTGAGCGCCACCTCCTCTCGAGGCCGAGGAGAAGGGGAGGGCCCTGAGAGGCTGGAGGTTACCCCCCCCCCCCCGCGCCCCCCCCCCCGGGGGGGACCCGGGCGGCTGTGTCCCTCCACTCCCCTCCTCGTTCCTCCGCACTCCCAAGCAGGGGGCAGCAGGAAGGGCCCTGGGCCCCCCAGAGGCCCCGCACTGCAGGCCGCTCCCTCCCAGCCCAGCCACAGTGAGACGCTCCAGCGAAGGCAAAAGAGGGGTGTGTGTGTTGTGTCCGCTGGCCGCCACCAGGGACCAGCGAGCACCCAGGGCTTGACCATGGGTGGACAATGGGAACTGGTCTCTTGGTCTCTCCAGCGGGGAGCCAATAGAAACGGGGAGGGAAGTTCGAACCTCCCAATGGGATCCAGGGGTGTCCCCTGGATATGTATATAGTTGGCCTCCTGGCCGTTTGTCTTTGTCTTAGTTGTGTAGAGTCAAGCTGCACCATGTTATGGGAGCTGAGTGGGCCTAGCCACACCGTCAACCCACTACACAATAGGGGGGGAGAGGCAAGGCAAGGCAAGGCTCCACTCTGGCCACAGAAGGACAGGCAGACCCCTCTCGGCCACCATCCCACAGGGCCTCTTTTGAGCTGGATGAAAGGAGGTTGTGCTTGGATCTGGGTTCGAGAGGAAAGCCCCAGGAGGCCCCTGATGGTCCCGCATGGAGGGTACCCACGTGTGGACGTTCCTCTTTCGAAAAGGGGCTTCCTTTGTTCCACGCAGGGGGAAAAAACCCTGTGTGGAAACAGTCAAAGACTGAGACTGTTGCTAGACAGAGCTTGGCTTTCTTAAAAAGGTAAGGGTTTCCCTTGCTTAAAAGCTAGTCGAATCCAACTCTAGGGGGTGGTGCTCATCTGTTTCCAAGCCAAAGAGCCAGCACTGTCCAAAGACTTCTCCATGGTCGTGTGGCCGGCATGACTAAACCGAAGAAATCGAAGATATAAATAAATAAACGCCAAGGCGCACGGAACACTGTGACCTTCCCACCAAAGCAGTACCTATTTATCTACTTGCGATTTCTTGCTTTCAAACTGCTAGGTTGGCAGGAGCTGGGGCCAGAGACGGGAGCGCACTCCGTCATGCGCCACTAGGGTCTCAAACTACTGAGCTTGCAAACCTTCCAGTCTGCAGCTTCAGCTTCTTCACCTTCTTACAGCAGTGCTATTTCGGGGAGCATCCACATGATGCCATCTTCTATTCTTCCTATTCCACATTTCCTCCCACTTTGCTGCTTTCTTTCCCAAACCTGGTTTGGTACACTCTGCTTGGAGATACTATATAGACAAAGCACCTTTGGACGTAATGTGGATGGGAAGGTGAACAGGTTTCTGGGTCCTGCCCCTATCAGCACCATCTTCCTTGCCTCAGTCCCTGCAGCTGCCTTTCCCCCCCCCCCCCCAGTCAAAAATGGCAGAGTTGCAAAAGGGAGACAGGCAGACTGCATGGGCACGCTCCCCCTGATACTTTATGGGAGGCAGAGGGCTAGAGACTCGCTTTCTGAGAAATGAAGGTTGGGAATGAGCAGACTGTGATTTTTTAAAGAAAAGCCTTCCTCTATGACGTGTGTGGGGGGGGGTTATGGGAGGAGGAATGTCGGCCTCGGTGAGAAAAGCTGAAACGGCTGTGTTGATGAGAACTTCCATAGTTGTCTCCATGTGGAAGGAGGCCCTGGTCACATCATGGCTACAGTAAGGTTTGGCCGGAGGCATTTCTTGCCTGCCAGCTCAGTCTCTTGGCTGCATGACCCATGTGTCTTAAGTGCCCTCAAATCACTTCTGACCACTTATGGCCACCCTATGAATCAATGGCCTCCAGAATGTCCTCTTGTTAACAGTCTTTCTCAGGTCCTGCACACTGAGGGCCTTTGTGGCCTCCTTTGTAGAGTCAATCCATCTATTTTTCTGCCACCTTCAACTTATCTCAAGTGTATGGCCACTCTCGGCTGACATCTGGCAGTGGGGGAGCCAAAGAGCAGCTTGCAACTTGGAACGGCACCCAGAATCCTCTGCTGCATGAAGGGGAACCTCGTGGCATGGTTTCCCTGAAGTAAGAAAAATAAGAAAATAGCAGTGAAGACCACTGCTATTTCTGGTTATAATAATCTCTAGGTTTCCCTTGCTTGAAAGCCAGTCGAATCTGACTCTAGGGTTGCGGTGCTCATCTCTGTTTCCAAGCCAAGGAACCAGCGCTGTCTGAAGACATTTCTGTGGTCGTGTGGCTGGCATGACTAAATGCTGAGGCGCATGGAACGCTGTTACCTTCCCACTGAAGGTATTTATCTACTTGCAATGTCTTGCTTTCGAACTGGTAGGTTGGCAGGAGCTGGAACCACAGACAGGAGCTCACACCATCATGCAGCACTCGGGTCTCGAACTGCTGAACTACCGACCTTCTGGTCTGCAGTTCAGCATCTTAACCACTTGAGCCACCGCAGCTCCTTTTATAATAATCTCTACGGTTGTCATTATTTGTTTTGGAAAAACACATTCAAGGGAGGGAGAAGTCAAGGGGGGGGGATCTTGTGCCAAAGAAATCTGACATAAACTTGATCTCTGTCATTCAGAATAAAAGAACGCAATCCACTGTTCAGAACAACCAACATGGACTATGGCGGAAAACCACCCACCGTACATGAAATGCCGGTAAATATAAGACCAGGAACGATAACAGTCGTTACTGCGCATATAGTGCTGGGGACACGTGTCTCCACTGGCTGATTTCAGTGCAAGGCAACAGGTAGATCCGAGAGGCCTGGCTGGTGCCTTGCCTGATTATATAGGGTTGCCAGCTCATGGCCGGGAGATTCCTGGAGATTTGGGGGTGGAGCCTGAGGATGGTGGGGTTGAGGGACAGGAGGGACGCCAGTGGCAGACAGTGATTGTCACCCCTCAAAGCGGCCATTTTTTGATCTCTCTCGTCTGGACTTCTAACTCTGGGAGATCTCAAGCCCCCCTCTGGAGGATGGCAACCCTGTGCCTGAACACAGCCCAGCATCTTGGGCCAGGGGTGGGGGGGTTCTGGGCTTCCTGAAGGGGGAAAGTTGGGGGGGGGGCTTAGCATGCAGGCGGAAAGGCAGGCGGAAGAGTGAGGAGAGAGAGAGGGGGGGGGGGGGGGGATGACGAGGTGCCTGCTTCGTCTGAAGGGGGATCTGGGGGTGTTGTGCCAGGGAGGCATGGGGGTGGGAGGACTTGGGGCGGCACACGAGACCAGGGCTCTGGTGGACCCCAAGACCTCCAGGGGAAAGGCGCCCCCCATATTGTCTCTGCTTGCTGCGATGGCACTGGGGCAGGCGCCCTCTTCTCCGCCCTCTTGGTCCTCCTCCGGCCGCCACTGCCTCGTCTCTCCCATCCAGGGCCAGGTCGAGGGGTTTTTTGCGCCCTAGGCGAAGCTAACTTCTGGTGCCCCCACGCCCAGTTATGTGGTTGCCAACCTCCAGGCGGGGCCTGGAGAGAAGGAAGTCCAACTTCTCTCCCCCTTTGGAGAGGTGGGGAGGGGAGTCCCAGGCCAAGCCCATGTGCCCCCCCGGATCAGCCGGCCCCCCGGCTGCCTCCCCTGCCATCGGCCCCCGATCCGCTGCAGGTTTACTCGGAAGGAAGTCCCCCGTCATGCCATGGGGCTGACTCCCAGGAAAGTGCCCTCTTAACACTGCAGCCGCAATGCATCTGAATGCCAAGAGGATCTGGGGTGGAGGTTCCATTCGTTTCCATTTTAATTTTTGGGACAAAACTCCCCTCAAGGAGTGAGCCCGAGCCAAGCGGACGTCGCGGGTGACTCTGAGGGTGCTTTTGAAGCGGCGCTGGCCCCTTTAAGAGAGCAGCCGGGCGGCAGGAGGGAAGAAGGGGGGGAGAGGCGAGACTGTTGCAAGACAAAGTGGAACTGTTTGGTGCGAGCCCAGCGGCTGGTGGGAGCCTTTCGAGGGGGGGAGAGGGCGGCAAGCAATCTCTGCTGGAGCCGCGCCAGCAGCAGTGAGAGCTTCCGAGCTCGAGAATGAGGAGCTCAAAGTTGGTGCGTTGCAAATGCAAAGGCGGCGCGAAGAGACGGAGGCGCAGGAGCCGGATTGGGAGTCGCTGTTGCTCCCCAGCCTGAGGCCAGACATCTTAGACGAGTGAGGAGGAGGCAGCAAGGTTTCCGAGCACCCAAAACAAAACACCCCGCTTTTGGATTTACAAAAGCCGACCCCAGGCGAAGGGGGAAGGCGAGGCGGCCTTGCGCTCTCCTTTTGCGCCCCCATGCCACGTGGCTGGGAGCAGCAATGGCGTGCAGGCTTTTGGCGGGGGGGAGGCACAGTTTGGCACCCCATCCAGGGCCCGCCGCCCTATCCAGGGCCTGGCGCTCTAGGCGAATGCCTAGTTCGCCTAGTGGGTGAGCCGGCCCTGCTCCCGTCAAGTGCCTCCTCCTCCAGTCTCTGCCTCACTCCCCTCCCTCCACTGCGGCCGGCCAGGGTGGGGGGGCGCTCTCTTGTCCCCCTCCCGTGCCAAGGCTCGCGCAAGCGGCAGGGTCCCGAGAGCAAAAACTCTGTTTTGTGAGCTGCTGGCATCGAGGTTGGGAGCCAGAGGCATGGCTGCAGCTGCATCACTTAGCCATCTGCTCTGGAGGAGGAGGTGGCTAAGAACCTGGGAGGCCCCCCCCTGCCCACACCCCGGGCTCCTCGGCGGCCTTCCCTCCCCCACAGTCCTGGTGTCGTCTCTGCCGCCCACCAACGATCCAAGCACACAAGAGCCGGGCAGCTGATGCCCTGCCCCCGCCTGCCGCTGGAGTCCGCCTCCTGTCCATTTCTACTCCCCCCCCACACCTGGCACAGGCCCGAACGAGATGGCCGGCATGCCAGGAATCAGCTGAGGGTTTCCCGGACCCAGCACAGGCAAGGCGCCCCCGCGACCCTCCCCTTTGGCTCAGGAATCCCCATCTCTGCCAGCGCCGCGCCCCCTCGTCCCAGAGGCAACGTCTAGTCTGCACCATGTTCACCACACCGAGCACAATGCCTGCTGGAGGTCCGCAAGACCTGCCTGCTGGAGGTGTGCCCCCCCCCCCCAGAGCAGAGCTTCTCCTCCTGCAGCCAGTGGCCAGTCTGCACCACGAGGCCATATCCAGGAGCAGGGCAGCGGGTGGGCCGCTAGAAGAAGGTGCCCGAGATGGCACAAGGCAGGCCCGAAGGGGGAGGGCACTAGGCTCGGCTCAGCCTGAGAGGGGCCGCCTGGCCAAGGGCACCTGGGCAACATCTGTGCCGTCCTGGATATCCTCCTCGCACTGCACCGGCTGGCTAGAGCGCTCATTCAGACATGGATGGCCTTGTCCACACAGGAAAAACCCATTGCAGATGAGGGCAGTAGTGCAGCCACAGCACAATCCTCTAGGCTGTGTGGATGGAGCACACCGCAGCCAACGGCCCTCTCAGCCAGGCGGGGTGGGGGGAGAGAAGAGATTCTTTGTGAGCACTTGTAGCCCCCCCATTTATTCACGGGGGGGCCCCCCCCCCCCCCGGAAAGCATCTTGGAATGCCCACATTCTTTGCCCCAGGAAAAACAGTGACGCCAGGCTTACCTGCGGCTTGTCTAAAGGGGCTCACTATCCCCCCTCCCCACTAGTTCAGTCCACTTCCGGGGGGGGGGGTGCTGCACAAAGGATGCAGCCCACAATTTGCCTAGGCAAACTAAGGGGGAAGGTAGCCCTCTCCCCTGTTAGAGGGTTCCATTGTATGGCCACCCCCCTCCCCCAGTCTGGAGCAAGAGAAGTCCTCTGCCTGAGAGGCTGGAGCCAGAGGAGACAAAACTCACCTTGACAGCCAAAGGTTCTGACTCAGTGTGACGGGCAGCTTCCTGCCTTAGAAGCAGCTGCTCTGCACACAGGCCCCAGGTCCAGTCCTGGCATTTCAAGAGGACCAGGTAGCAGGTGATGGTAGAAAGTCCACCTCAGACCCTGGATTGTCACTGCAATCCCCTTGAGAAAGATCCCCCCCCCCCCATATATGTTTACTTGGAAGTCCCATTCTGCAAAGGCCCCTCTTCTCCCCATAAGTTCCCCTTTACTCCTCTCTCCTTTGTGCAGCCCCCGGTGGCTGTGCCATTCCTGAATCAGACATTAAGCACTTCTTGTTTCAGGGTGAGGTTTGCGTCTCCCCCCACCCCTTTTAAAATCAATTTCACAATTATATCCTCCTTGAATGGTGAGCAATCGTTTTGGCTGCACAGGGAACAGCAGTACAGAAAGCCTCTGCCTCCCCCCACCCCGGGAAAACTAACTAAGGATGAGTTCAGGAACTCTGCAGCCATCAAGAGTCAGGGAGGCAAGTCATGACGTGGCTGCAGAACGGGAGACTGGGAACTGTTCCCACAACAGTTGCCCTGGGAAGACAGACTGGTGCTTCAGGGGCGCTTCTTGCTAAGAAAGTGAAGGGATGAGGCCATTCCTCATGGGACAGCCTCGGGCTGTAGGAGGTTTGGTTCAAGTCTGGCACTGGCAGAAAGCTGAAATATCCCCTTGCCCTTTTTCCCCAACAGACCTGCTTCCAAACTAGCCCACATGCCTTCACGGATCATCTCATCAAGTTTGGCATGTACAGGAATACTGGGATCAACACCGCAACAGAGAAGAGTGACGTGACTGGTCCAGACAACTTCATCACTTGCTTTGACACGTTCAACTTCCACCCCAGCTACAGGGTGGGCGGGCCGTCCTTCTGCGAGTAGCCTGGGGCCGGGCACTCTGCCCTTTCCTCTGGCTCCTACTGGCTGAATACTGACAGAGTCATGAAACAAGAAACCCTTTGTGAAACTCCTGCCTGAAGCAACATGCTCACCCCCCCCCTTTTGGGCTGGAGTGGAGACCTCAGGCTTCCTTCATGGTCATTTGGAATATTCCCACAGATTTTTATGCGATTCCCCTGAAGCAAATGCAAACTGTGGCAAAGAGATGACTTTTGGGTTTAGCAAAGTTTCTTTAACGTTATTACTGCCATTACAGACAACTCTGAATGAATAATAGGCTCTTTCTTGTGTTGTGGGGCTTCACACTTCTGTGTTGTTTCAGATGGGCTTCAATCCAAGATTAGGGTCATGTGGTAGGCATTTATGGGTCTGAAACACAGATACCATTTTTTTTCTCTCAAGTAGAGGCCTACAGATTAACAATACAATTAAGAAATGATTTATTATTATTTGCAATTCATGCAGCAGCAACGAAGTATGTGGCACTTTCCAGAGTAATGTAAGCAGAAAGACCCAGGCCCCAAGGAGCTTACTGGTTACATTTTGACAAACGAAGGCAACAGAAGTAAGATGGGGTGACTTAGATGTGTGAACAAACCAACACAGATCATAGAGTTGGAAAGGATCTCCAGGGTCATCTAGTCCAACCCCCTGCATAATGCAGGATATTCACAAATACCTCCCCCCTCCACATCCGCAGTGACGGCTGTTCCATGCCCAGAAGATGGCAAAAAACCTCCCTGAGCCGTGTTGGTTTGAAGCAATAGAACAAAGTTAGAGTCCAGTGGCACCTTTAAGACCAACAACATTTTATTCAAGATGTTGTCGAAGGCTTTCACGGCTGGAGTTCATTAGTTGCTGTAGATTTTCCGGGATGTGTGGCCGTGGTCTTGGCATTGTGGAACCTGACGTTTCGCCAGTAACTGTGACTGGCATCCTCAGAAGACAATGACTCAGCCCTACCCACCTTCTGGAGTAGATATAAATTTACTGGCTACCATTTTCTTCTCACCTTCACAGAGAGTATTCCATCTTTCTGTGCTTATACCTCTGAGGATGCCAGTCACAGACTAGTTACTAGCAAAACGTCAGGTTCTACAATGCCAAGACCACGGCCACATCCCGGAAAATCTACAGCAACTGATCTTATTCAAGGTCTGAGCTTTTGTGTGCACGCACACTTCCTCAAATACACTGACATGGAAGTTAACAGTTCATACATCTAGACAGATGCCTCTACATAGGTGAACAGCAAATCAGCATACAACTTAATGGAGATGTTCTGACATATGCAAAGGCCAAACAGCAATGCCAAGCTAAATATATATGGTCACCAAGTCACCATTTGTTTGGATTTAATTAGGGGGAGAAAACAGTGTAGTAATAAATATGTCAAAATAGGAGACAGATGTGTACGGTTATCTTTCTTAATTGTAAAGAATAATAAACTGAGTAAACTCCACTGGTCTCTCAAGCATGGGGTTAACTAACAGCATCCTTTTTTTACAAGTGTTATGTATTTCTTTTTTGGAATAGTATATGGACATAGTGATTAGAATGCAATGCAATATATTGGAATAGGTTTCTCTGACATAACACCTCTAAGAAAAGGATGCTGTTGGCTAACCCCATGCTTGAGAGGAGAATTATGTAAACAGACGTTCTCCTTCTACATTCCGTACTATTGTTCGACTTGCGATTCTACTGGGTTTGGGGAGAGGTAAATAGTTGCACAGGTTGTCTATGAGGCTGCATATTCTGAGTTAAACCACGAGCCCACCCAGCCCCGTCCTAGCTAATTTCACTGGCAGTGAAGCGTGGCATTCCAAAATCACAGGGAAAGGTCTCTCTGCTACCATTTGAGATGCTTTTTAAATAAGGAAACCAGGGATTGAGCACTGAGGACTCTGAGCACTGAGCCACAGCCTGTCCCCAAAAGTTCAAAGCACAACTCACTGAGCCATTACATGGCACCAGTGGGTATCTTGTAAAACTCCCCCTGCACCCCCTTCAGAAAACTAGGCTATAAACCTGAAAAGGCACACCATGCAACATGTATAAAAATGCAAGGAAAAAATGGGCCTTGAAAAGCAATTTGTCATGTTTATTGTAACTGCTGTTCAGCAGAGAACAGAATGATTTTTGTGTGTACAACACAAGTAAATGGAACAAAACACAAATGGCATCTTTCTGCCTGGAATAGTTCACGTCTTTGTTAAAGAGACACCTTGCTGAGAAAGCCAGTGACAGTGCTCGTTCTCCCATCGGATGTCTTCAACAAAAACGGTGAGTGCAAACTGAATGCTGCTTCTCTTGTGAAGCAGGGCAGAGCCAGCTCTGAGATTTCACAGAACTCCAGAGGAGGCAGCAGCAATGCACACACACACACCCACACACACCCGAGCCTCAACCCACCCTTCCTGCTGGTGCCCCAACCACCGGAAGGACAGAGAGTCTGAGCCAAGTCTGGATGCCAGCTGATGGACCTGCCCACCAGCCTCCAGACCCGACTCTTGCTGGCACAAGTTATCCAAAAGAACACAACTAACATGGTAACATCACACACAACATTTTTGTTATAGCAAACAGGTTATGCTCACTCCAGATCAGGAATGTAATGAAAGGCAGAGCCTCATGGAACCAGATATACATTGAACTCTCTGGGACAGGACCAAATGAGGCTTGTAAGAACATTCACATGGGACAAATCCATTGCTACTTGCCATGTGAATTTCTCAAACAGGAATAACTGGCCAAACCTTGAGTTTATTGTATGTCTCACATATGTTTGGGGGGTTTCAGTGGGAGAGGACACGACGACAGCCGCCTTCTTCATTTCCCAAAATCACTGGGGGGTTTTAGGACTGCAGAATGTGTTTTCAGGGACTACAAATGTGCTTTCCTTCCTGGGCAACAAAAAAATATCAGAATGAATGCCCCTTAACTCAATGCTGCTAAAATTGAGGGGCTTCATTCAGAAGTGGAAGCAAGATGGAGCCCAGAAGCTCAAGTGGCTGTATTTGAAATCTTCACACTCTGGGCTACAAAATCCAGATTTTGAATAAAGTGAACAAAATGATAAGCAATCAAATGAGAACTCCCTTGTTTTGCAAGAATTTGCTAATTTTTGTACTGAATTTTCAATGCAATGAGGGTATTTCAAAATAGAATTTGTGTTTTATTTCACAAAGATTCCTTTGATTAACTAAGGTGGTGATGCCAGCCTGAATACTTCCCATTTGCTAAGCAATACCCCCCCCCCCGGAGGAAAAACGCAGTAGCGTTCTGAACCCTTTTCTGGTTCAATAAACACCTGCAAAAGTCTGCCTTGTCCCAGCACTTAGTGCCACATCCCCCTCTCTTGTGGCACTGTTCTCAGCATGCTCGCAAACGCCAACATGGCAAGTTCAGAGCAGCAACTCCAGCAGAAGCCCACTGAAGAACATCCCTTGAGAACTGGTTGTTCTGCTTCTGCTTTGGGGGTGAGCAGAGAACCACCCCAAATGCAGATTTACAACATAACTGCCTGCCCCTCTCGAGGAAGAAAAAAAACAGGGCAACTAATGCTTGGGTAGCCTCTTCTGTGAATGGGTGCTTTGACACATGCGAGCATTCAGACATTTCATGACGTCTCTCAGGCGTTTGATGACCGGCGTCCATTACTTACATGTACCAGTTCCAAAAGACAAACAGCCCTGACTAGAACATGTTTTCTGATTGTCCTTCCTCCTGCCTTTATGTGTTATTGCTCTGTTAAGCCCTCCATCCTGGAATTCAAAACAGTGTCACGTTTCCACCAAGCACCTGTGAAGATTATAATCAAGAAAAATGCAGCATCAGTTAAGTGGAAGTTCCTTATGGATGCAGAGGGGCCTGTGCATGCGCACCTGTCTTCCAGACGTTTCTAAAGGGGGAATGCTGCTGACCAAAAAAGGAAGGGAGCTAGAACTATCTACAACTATACACATACAGCACAATGCCCAGCATCACTGTTAAATCTGGGATGGGGTAAAACTTTGGTTTGTCAGCCTGGCCTGACAAGCAAATACAGTCTGAATGAGGATTCCAAACAGGGCTCAGAACCGATGATCTTTTATTGGGATGCCTGCCACCTGGCCTGCTCATGCACAAGCAGCACACTTTCATCTGCACGAGACAGACCTCAGGGACCCCAGACGGGAAGTGCTCTCATCACACACTTTCCCCTCGTCTTGACTGAGGCTCCCCCCTCCCCCTGCAAGGGAGGGGACACCAACAGGCCAGGCCTGTACAGTCCCCCAAGCACTCTAGGCTCATCTTGCACTGAGCCGGAAGTTGAACTAGATGGCCTGCTGTATGGCCCAGCTCTGTGATTCTACGGTTCTAGACTTGAGGTTCCAATGCCCAGAGCCTCAAGTGTTTACACTTAAAAAAAAATCAGGTGAAAGATGAATATATAAATAGATATGTTTGCATGCTTTAAAAAGAATAATTAAAGGCAGGTATCCTGTCTGAGTTGAAGCTGCGGTGGCTCAAGTGCTTAAGATGCTGAACTGCAGGTTGTGGAAGGTCAGTAGTTCAGCAGTTCGAGACCCGAGTGCGCCGCATGACGGAGTGAGCTCCCGTCTATAGTTCCAGTTCCTGCCAACCTAGCAGTTTGAAAGCAAGAAATTGCAAGTAGATACATAGGTACCACTTCAGTGGGAAGGTAACAGCGTTCCGTGCGCCTTTGCGTCTAGTCATGCCGGCCACATGACCACGGAAATGTCTTCGGATAGCGGTGGCTCTTCAGCTTGGAAACAGAGATGAGCTAGAGTCGGACTCGACTAGCTTTCAAGCAAGGGAACCTTTACCTTTTTATCCTGTCCGAAGTGGGGAGGGGATGGTTGATCCTGTCATAAGCAGAAGATACACGGGCTGAGGAAGGTGGGCTCACCTACAGGTTCTGCTTCTCCTTCATATTGTTTCTGTCTGTTTTTATACTCGGAATTAATAACTGGGGGGAAGGGGGATAAAAAGGAATTGCTGCAAATTGGCCAACCCAGTCTCTACCGCTAGAGAAAGGCCCCCCTTGTGGGAGAAGCCAGCCTGGACCTGATCAGAGCACAAGCAGAGACCATTAACTGACTGCTTTCCATAGGGAGGATACTGAGCATGCTCAGTGCTCATTTATTTACAGACCAGTATCTTTCTACATAATCAGAGTATGCCCAGTACGCAAAAACCTTGACTTCAGTGGTGAGTGGGCCTTTTCCACCACTGTTAGGACAGGCACTTGACAATGACGCTTGGAACTAGAACAAGCTAGAACCTCTAATGAATCATGGGGGTTGAGGAACAGACTATTTGGACCCCCCTACTCTCTCTCTCTCTCTCTCTCTCTGGGGCTGCAGATATTCAGCCAGTTTCTCAGTCTCACACACACACACCCGCCCGATTCACAATGGCTCTCGACATTCTTCTGTGCTTCTGGAAGTTGTTCCCACAGAGTTAAGCTCAACAGGACTTGTGCCCGCCCCATCCCACGCTGCTTCCTTCAAAAGGCATCACTGCCTTTGGTTAATAATACCGAGAAGTCAATTTAACACAGAATGTGGTATAGGGACTTAACACTGGAGGGTCTTGAGTTCAATCCGGTTGAGTGATCTTCATAGAATCCTTCTTTCTACCTCGCTGAGACTGAGGTGAGGATTATTTATTTAATTCATTTATACCCTGCCTTTCTCCCCAGTGGGGACTTACATCACGCTCCTCTCCTCCATTTTATCACCCCAGCGACCCTGTGAGGTAGGTGAGGCTGAGAGACTGTGACTGGCCTAAGGCCACCTTGCAATCTTCCGTGGCACGAGTGGGGATTCGAACCTGGGTCTCCCAGATCCTAGTTCAACACTCTTAACAACCACTACACCACACTGGCTCTCTGGGAGACCCCCCCCAAGCCATATACGTTGCCCTGAATATATCTCAGAAGATGAGTGGGTCACAGATGCAGCCTCAGCCCTAGACTCGAACTTGGAATCTGGAGATTCGCTCCCACCTGTCTTCCCTCTTATACTATTTCTGTTTATTTCACTGGGACTTTTGAAGGAAAATTTCCTGGTGGAGTGCAAACTTATTTTTAAAAAATTACTGAATGAATCAGCGAATCGCATGAGGAGACGCGTTTTGTGATCAACAGACCCCACTGCTCTTTTCCAGGGGAGAAGGGAGATGGTCTACCTGGAGCCTGTTCTCTCCACTCTCCACTGCCAGAGTCCGGCTGCCCTGGCGACAAAGTGATGTAGGGCTGAACTGTCCCCCCGGGGTCAATGGGGCTGCCCAAGAAGCTGGAAAAGTAAAAAGAATCCACACCCATGAATGGTTTTGGTTAAACTAAACAAAACAAAACAAAACAGGGAGATCTGGGGGAACCAGTCCAAGCAAGGTAACATTTCTGGCCTAAGGACTGAGTGCTTTGTTGCAATACCTCCAGCTCTGAAAACACTGAATGTGAGTGCTGAACACACATTAAGAAGAGCGACATCTGAGCCCAGCAGCAATTCAGAGGCCAACAGGATTTTCTGCATTTGACCTTCTGAGAGTCCAACCTCATCCTCTTCTGCAGACCAGCCTGGCTGCCCTCTGAGACGGGCACACACTGACCAGCTCCGCGGGAGAGACCCGTGTGCAGCTAAGCCCACAGCTGTGCATCCTACGGCTGCTCTCTAAGGGTACAGAGATCACCTGTCTTCTAGGTTTCAGCATAGCTAAAGCTGTGTCTTCAGTAAACACACAAGACTAAAGCATGCTTGTTTGATGGCTTTTAACAGCCACTTGTCAGGAAACACAGGGGGTGGTGGTGAAGGAAACACTTGGCCACTTGAAAGGTGCTAGGGAGTCAGTGGGGTGGACCCAACCAAAAGCCTTCCTTCTCTTCCAAATGAAAAGCCACTTAAGTTAGAGGAAGATTCTTTAGACTGAGGATGTCCTCAGACTTGAGCCAAAATGAAAGGTGGGGTATAAATATTTTAATAAATGAATAAATCAAGATGGGTAGCCATGTTAGTCTGTCTGTGGCAGCAGAAAAGAGCAAGTCCCATGGGACTCCAGCTGAACTTTGCCCACAGGATTGGCAGGCTTGGGGTAGGATCCAGCTCAGCAAGTGGAGCTGCATGCTCTTTAGCTCTGAGGGAACTTGCTAGGGAAAGCCTGGTGGCTTGCTTATCTTACACACTCCAGGACAGTGGTGGCGAACCTATGGCATGGGTGCCAGAGGTGGCACTCAGAGCCCTCTCTGTGGGCACGCGTGCCATTGCCCCAGCCAGGCCCAGACCATCACTAAAGTGTCGAATTCTCTGCCAAATAATTTTAAGTAAATGAAAGCATTTAGGATTGCTTTCCTTACTTTGTCTGGCTCATCTTAAGTCAATGTATGAGTTGTTTTTTCTAAGGTAAAACCTCAGTATTCAGGTTAAATTGCCATGTTGGCACTTTGCAATAAATAAGTGGGTTTTGGGTCACAGTTTGGGCACTCGGTCTCTAAAAGGTTCGCCATCACTGCTCTAGGACTAAACTGGTATTACAAAGTGGCACAAAAAGAAACTGTTCCTGGAACCTTTGACATTTGGGAAGTGGGGAGGCTTGGCTGCCTGGGGCCATCACCAAGACTGCTTCTCGGTCGGTGCCCCCTCCCCTTACACCAAAAAGCATCAACCACCCCCAGCCTATCTGGGGGAACATCCAGATTCAAGACTGGCCTGGAGAGGGATACAGCACTGCTGGTGGGAGACTCAAACCGAGTCAGACAGAACACAGCACAGAGCCCGCTTGCAGGGCGTGGCAGCCAAGAACACGCTCTTCACACTGCACACCCCACACCTGACACATCTGGCATCATAGAGCTTTTCAGAGCCGCTCCAAGAGACAGGGAGATGGAGGCAGCCCAATGTGACAATCAAACCTCTCAGATCCATTTCTGACTTAGATACTGATGTGGGAACTGATAGCTGTGAATGCTGGAACCACTCATTGATCAGATGTCTATGGATCGCTTCAGATGGTGCAGACAGAGTCTTCGAGGTGGTAACTCTGTAAACTTGACCTCTGTTCTTTTTGATAGGTCAAGGCTTGCTAGGGAAAGTTAAACGCATCAATGGCTAGGATAAGAAATACATCTCTGGCACAGAGTCAGCTTTCAATAAATGGATAAATTGTAGACCCAAAAGAAAAGTGCATGAAGAAAGCTGATTCCTTTGAAATGTAGTGTTGGAAGAGTTTTATGGATACCGTGGACCAACAAAAAGACAAATAAGTCAGTTCTAGCTCAAATCAAGCTGGACTCTCCCTAGAAGCTAAAACGACTAAACCGAGGCTATCGTACTTTGGTCACATTACAAGAAGACAAGAGTCATTGGAAAAGGCCATAATGTTAGGAAGCTGATGGCAGCAGGAAAAGAGGAAGACCCAATGAATTGCCTCAATAATGGAAGCCACAGAGGCCCTCCATTTGCAGGAGTTGAGCAAGGCTGCCAATGATAGGATGTTTTGGAGAACATATTAATTCACAGGGCTGCCGTCAGAAGCGACTGGAGGGCACTTAACAGACACACGCAAGTGGGTGGCAGAGCAAGTCTACACATTCCTGAATGAGACTTCTTCCCTCTACCCTTCTCAGTCTGGTTTCTTTAGCAACACTAATGGATGGTCTTCAGTGGTTATTCTTCCCTTACATTTCGTTAAATCTGTCTGCTGCTTTTAACACAGTTGACTACACCGTGCCGTTTGTAAACCACTTAGAGCCAAGATTTGGAGTAATAAGTACTGCTCTCCGTTGGTTTCAGACCTTCCTACCTGATCAATGGCAGAGAATTTCTTTCAGAAAGTCTGGTTCAGCACCGTGAGAATTGCCATGTGGTGCCTCTCCTGCTGTCCTGCGTTTAAATGAGAACTTTGGAGTTGGGTGTTGTTAATCTGCTCTAGATGCAACTATCTCTGTTTTGAATCAGTACCTGGATGCTGTGGTCAAGGGAATGGAGGTGGACAAGTGGAAAATGAATCTAAACAAGACAGAACTGATGGTGGCCGGGAACACGGATTTTCTTGAGTGAAAAGATTTAGTGAGGCTGGATGGAGTCAAACTGACTCCAGCAAATAGTCTAGGGCTATTTTCAGATTCAGCCTTGCTTTTTGAACATCAGGTTGGCACTGTTGCTAACAGCACATCTCATGCCCCGCCAACCAATACAGCCTTATGTAATCTCTAGACTGGACTACTGTAACACGCTCTGTGCTGTGGATTATTAAGAAAATGAGTGAAAGTAGAACAGCAAGTAGTGTAATACACTTATATAGATATATGGGGTGGCCACACTTGGAATACTGTGTAGATTGCCATATAAGTAAGTAAGTCTTAGAAAGTTTATTGCGGAGTGGCAAAAGGTACAGAAAGTGCAACCAAAAGTGACCAAGAGACTGGAACACTTTCTGTATAAGGGAAGACTAAAGAGTCTGGAGTTTTAAGTCTAGCAAAAAATAAAGATGGGTGGTAGGGGTTAGGGATACAACGGACAACACAGTATAGGTTTATAAAATGATGTATGGTATGGAGAAAGTCTGAAAACTGATTTGAGATGGACCTTAGAAGCTTTGGAAGAAGCTTGCCAGAATAAGGCAGAAGAGGAGAGTGTCCATTCTGGAAAGGTAGGAGACATCACTTGAGATAACATTTGATTTTTGGTCTGAACCCAGTTTATTAAGTTTTATAAATGTATGAATGTACATAATTTCTTATATGCACAAGGGTGGGTTTTTTTTAATTTAAAAAGTACTCCTCAAAATCAGATAGCATCAAAATCACAAGCAACAAGGTACTGCAATTCAAATGGGCATCAATTAACACGAAGGGATCTGACACACTCCCAGGGGGACAAAACCACATTCTTGCAACCTTCAGGACTACTTCTGAGAAGAATTTAAATGGAAGGAATGCTCAGCAGAATTTGTACAGTCAAATGAAAGGCTGGATGTTCACATAAATTTAATCCTATCTACACAGTATTTTTTAAAATAAAATGCTGTTTGAAACTCAACCTGCTGGGTCCTCATCCTAAGCAGAGTCACACCCTTCAAAGTTCATTGAAGTCGGCGGGCTCAGAAGGGCGTCACTTTGTTTAGGAATCTAAGGCTACTTCCGCATCACACACTGACTTTCTAACATAGCAGCGGGCCATACCCTTCTGCCACTTGCTCTTGTAGACAGATATATGCCTTATTTTTATTTAATAAATCTATTTTCCCTGTGGCAAAACTGCATATTACAGCGGGGGAGCCATGTCTCCTGTTGTTATTGGGTGGGGGGTGTCATGACATTCGTACTTGTGTGTGGAGGGGACTGGATCAGGGGAACAAATATGGTAGAGGGATTTTTAATCCATACCCTTCTCCATCTTACAATTCGTCCTGCAGAGGCAGCATCTCCCGTTTCAAAGGATCTCAGAGAGGAAAGACCCTGGTGAGCCAGGGCAAGTCACAGCAGCCAAATCGGAGTTAAACGGAGCAAGGGTCCAACTTGGTGAAAGGCAGCTTCATAAATGCAAACAGTTCTTCAAATGATGAATGCACCCTAACCCAATGTGAATCGTTATGCCTTGGCGCTCCTCTGTCTGTACACAAGAGCTGTCCTACGTTCATGGCCTGTCCCATTAATGGCAACGGGGGGCAGATGCACACGTCTGGTTTTTCCCATAAGCAGCTTTCACAGGGGCACAATTTAAGCACCACGAGGTCTCTCTAGGTCAAGCCCTGTTAGGAGGTCTGCTGCCATGTACTGACCGTCCCATAAGTAGATAGTTTTTAAAAAGCAGAACAAACAGGAGAGCATCCTAAATAAACTTAATTTTTGTGATAATCCAGAAATGTGCTTGTGTCATTGAGACTTTTCCTTCAATCCCAGCTGTTCACAGTGGATGAATCATTCAAAAGCACAAGAGGGTATGTAGCTAATGCTTAAGTGCATCATAATTTAAAGCATAACAAACCACAATTATCACCATATCTTACAATAAATATAACAACTACAACTCTGTGTAGTTAGCTGTGCTCTATAAACTGTTATTTAAAAAGATTTCCTCAAAGCACCTTTTAAATATTTTTTTAAAAAAATTCTACCAAAAGAGAGAAAAAAATAGTACACATTAACTGAAAACACATTTCTTCACATTTGTGAGTACAGGTGTGGCCCTTCAGCATTTTCCATTTTTCTCTTTTGGTTTCAGTTTCTGTTAAGATACTGACAGGATCGTTTGTATCACAGCATTAACAGAAGTTGATCTGTCAGATATAAAACATTTATTTCTTGTAATGTATGAAGGGCAGCACAAGTGTACTTTGCATCGTGGGCCGAAGGATCTGCAGCGACTGAGTCAACCCGCCGCCCAGTCCGTGTGTCCCAAAGTCACGCGAGAGGAGGAGGAAGAGGGAAAAAAGCGCACTCACATCAGCCCTCTTCTTCATATGTTAAGAAACTCATCTCTTGCAATATGACACAGCCTTCTGAATTAAAAACGTTAACAACGACAAAATGGTGCTGTAAGATAGAAAGTACTTACAAACTGGTGGGCTTGTTTTTCTCCAGACAAGGGGCGTGTGCCACCACAGGTACATCTATAAATTCTGCAGACCCTCCCTCGAAATCTTTATGAGTTGGCTTCTCAGCTATTCTGTCTTGGCGGGTCAACAACAGTCTCTCTCTCAACGGTGGGTTACACGACTCAGGGGCACCGAGTCCCTCCCAACTGTTGCTGTGACCTTGGACTCTCCCCTCCTTTTCCTTTACAGGGATCTGAGATGGAGATGAACTAAGATCAATCCCCTTGGCACCGTCCACACTGGGCTCCTGCAGAAGAGAGCTTTGCTTTGCATCTGCAAGGGAACAATGCTCTTCCTCACCAAAAGGTTTGGCTTTGGCAGGACTGGCCACTCCTATGCTTAAAGGGGCAACCTCCATTTTTTCTGCTACAGGGGGATAGAACTCCCCTGCCATGCATCTTTGATACAAGTCTGCCTTTTCTGTCTTGCTTTTGGAACCCAGGATCCCTTTCTGTGCAGGAGCTTTACGTATCTCGCCTAGCAAACCTTCCTGCCTCCTGAACACTCTGCTCTGGGGTACTGACAATTCTATGCTCTGACTTTTTCTCAGAAGCACAGATTTTTCCTTCTTCTGGGCTCTTTTGAAACCTGTTATAAACTTGCTGGAAATTTTGAACTCACGTGAGCTCTTTCTTCTAAAAAGTGACATAGGCTTAAAATAATTCTGCGGTTTGCCATTCTCAGCCTTTTCTTTCCAAGATGAAAGGCTTCTCTGAACGAGCTTGCCATCAGAGACTCCCTTCCTGTCTATTCCCATTCTTTTTACAGATAAACCAGCACCTTTAGCTCGCACAACTCCCTGGTTTCCCTGTAATTTCACTATTGCTTGGCTGTGAATGTCTTCTCTGCAGGTTACGGTTTGCTCACCAGTTCGACAGATGTTTTCTGCACCCTCTCTTTCAGTTCTCAGAGGGCTTCTCAACTCAGTCATTGGTTGGCGTCCCTTCTTTGCCCTCTTATTCCGCTTTGACAAGGCAGTGCCTCCACCTTCCAACTTTGGCTGAGCAGTTTGGGGCTGAGCAGCTTTCACAGTGTCAACAATTTCAAACGCCCCAACTATTTCCACAGTACTTGAGGAATCTCTGGCCTTTTCTGCCAAGAACCTCTGAATTTCTTGTTCAATGCTGTCATCGCTATCCAAAGAACTGCTATCTTCCATCATGGGCACGTCGATCCAATGCTGCTGATCACTTACTGCTGCTGCTTGGATGTCTGGCCCAGAAATCGCTTGGCATCTCTTTTCAAACGTTAATGCAAGCTCTGTGGTCTCTGCCCTTCTGGGTCTTCCTTTCACCATGTACGGGGACCTCGTCTGTGCACTTTCTTCCCAAATGTTTCTTCTGGATCTAATGAGGCAGCTTTTGAGCAAGGCAGGATTTTTGGATTTGCAGGCTTTTTCTTGGAGGACTTCAAGTTTCTCCTCAAAAATATGCATCTCAGCATTACCAAATCTCACTTTCTTCTTGCACTGAATGTTTTGGTCTTTGGATTTTTTCTTTAGCTTCCGTTTTGACCTTAAGAGATCTTTGATGGCTGTATCCAGATCCTCATCACTGTCCAAAGAGCTGCTCTTGTCATCTATGCTGCATTTCTGCAGAGGTTGTCTTGCATTTTTTAGAAGCCCCCCTGTGCCAAGAAGCCCTTGTGACAGAGGGGTCACAAAATCCACAGTACTGGCAGCGGCTGGAGTGACTCCTGGCTGCCTTGCAGCCCTGCCCGCTTCACCGTTTTCCACATTGCTTAGAAAGTTCTCCTTCTGGGACGCAAAGTGTTTTGAATGTTTATCAGTCTCCAGATGGCTACAGTCCACCTTTAACAGTGCCATTTTTTCATCCTGTCTCTGTCTTGACACACTGCTTTCCTCTTTAAGCTGCCTTTTGTGATCCAGGGGCAGTTTTAATGTATTGGGGAAGGACTGCTTAGGACTCCTGATTCGATCATCCAGATGCCCACAAGACAGAGTATTTGGGGCAGCATTTGAAGCCTCACCAGATTTTGTGATCGAATGTTCAGCCTGTGCTTTGATAGCCAAAAAAGCCCTTATCTCTTGTTCAATGCTGTCATCACTGTCCACAGCATTACTGTCACTCTCTTGGTGGGGAGGAGAGACACTATGGAAGTGGAAGAAAGGGTCTGTCAGGACGGATTTGCCGTCACTTGTCACAGAGGGTGGCAAGATGGTTTTGGAGATGTCCAGGATGGCTTCTGCACACATCAACTCAGCTGCCGTGTCTGCTCTGCAGGTCTGTGATGGGACGGCACCACTGGCAACATCATTGGCTGGTGAACTGCAACGTCTGCCTTTCCCCAGCTCATTATTACAGATGGCACCGGTCCTATTTAACTCTGTAAGCTTTGAGCTGGTCTGTTTCCTCTTGCTGCTTAGGGCCGTTCTGGGGTTTTCTGGCAAGGCACTTTTCTCTGAATGGATTGTCAGGCTTGCGGATATATCAGCTAGCCCCCCAGCCCCAAACTCTTCCTTCTGAGAAGGAACACAGCCGACTTGAGCATTTGCTGCTTTTCTGACTTTTTCTAGCTGGTAAAGCTGAATTGCTTCTTCAATGCCATCATCGCTACTTGAATCAGATAAACTTGCACTTTCGGGGCCTTGCTCTCCTCTGGCTTTCCAAAACCTCTGCCTGATCTCACTACCATTACTTTGCTCCCGTATACAAGAATGGCCAGCACCAGGAGTGCTAAGGTGCACTAGGTTTGTTTTTCGGACATTCACAAGCTCTTCTGTTTTTGGCATCCAACATTTAGGAGGAGAGCTGGTATTCTGCAGTTCAGGATGCCTTCTTAAAAAGTACGCCTTGCCTCCTCGCTTTAAAGAATGTGGGCTTGCTTTGCTAGTTCCACCTTTCTGACTGGTTGCCTTCTCTTGCACCTCTTTCTGATCCAGACTCTTACTCCCCCCAGACGCAATCTGCTTTCTTGCTCGCTGTTTCTTTTCATTTAAGAATTGCTCTATCTCAGCTTTTATGCTCTGTTCAAATGAGTCATCACTGCTCACACTGCAAGGGGAGGGGACCCACTGGAGTGCATCATCTCCCAGAAAGTCAGGAGCAAGGGGCTGAGGAATCACATCTGTTTTTACACTGCCAGGGAACACATTGCAAGCTACACCATAGGAGGAATCTTCCTTTCTGAGACTTTTGCCTGCATTGGTGCTGGGCAAGCTCTTAGCATTGTTTGGCAAGGGCGGGATGCACTGGCCTTTTTGTTTCAAGTACTCTTGAATGGCTTCCTCTATCTCTCGATCAACAGAATCATCGCTGTCAGAATTCAACGAGAGGGGCCCAAACTCTGAACTCTCTTCTACTTCCATGCCATCAGAGTCAGCAGGGCAACTGCGCGGGGCATACTTAGCACATCCCTGTGGTAGCATCCTGCCATCGCCCCTCCGCTTGGGAGCTCTGATTTTCACTCCCTTCCTTTTTTTCTGCAAAATACAGCCATATTCACTGGTAGTGCCCAAAGACGACTCTTCACTTTGCAGGTTGTTTATGATCATCTGCACTTTGGTGCTTACAGATGTTCTAGCAATGTCATCTTCAGATTCTGAGAAGCAGACAGGGTATCGACAGGCCCTAGCCTGGGCAAAAGGCTCCCATTTTCTCTGGAGGGCTACCAAAGGAGAAGTATTCATAAGAAACATTGTACCAGGTGTGAGAGGGCCTGCACATTTCTCAGGCAAATTACTCTTCCGTCCTAACAGAAAAGGAAACAAAACAACAACACAGCTATGATATCAAAACCACATAGAACTACAGCAAAGTTCCTCACACAATTTTATGTGTTTAATCCCAGTTTGTCAGAGCAATGATATTTAAATAACTGATGGTTTAAACAACAACTCCAGTAAGTTTTTATTACATTGTGCCACCTGAAATGAATGATCCAGAAGTACAACTATCTCAACACTGCCTCAGAGACCAGCATCCTACAAGTGCAACCCACTTGCTGATAAACAGCTGGTAGGACCTCCATCGCCATCTGAGCCACAGCACACTTTGCTCCTCTCTACGAGGCGGTAAAAGTGATTAAATGGACACAAATCAGATATAAAAAAACGGGCAAGGTGAATCCTGTGAAAACATTTCAGTCTCCCAGGACGCTGTGCTGCTGCTACCTTAGACTTCCAGCAGGATAATCTGAAAGGGACATGCCAATGGGAATATTGTGCAATGAGAAGTCAACAGCAGATCTGATTCTAATTCAGCTTGGATTCAGCCCTGACTAGAAAATGTTCTGGCTCTGCTTCTGTCTCCTGCAGTTCACTGCCTTTTCACTCCACTATGTACTTTTAAAAACCTATGCTCAAGCTTGTACATGTATCTGTCCACTGAGAGTGACACTTCATATACCCACAAAGATTTATACTGTGATAAATCACAATAAACGCCTTTTCCAAAACACACAGGCAGCAGCCCCCCCGCCCCCCAAATGGCTTCCAGACCGCAGGCTAGCCGGCATCCCCCCCTCCCCTCCTCCCCTCCTCCCCTCTGGCATCGGTAGGACT